GAGTCTAGGGGCCTGGGTCACCTGGCTGAAGCTAAACCACAAAAAGCCTTTGTTTTTGCATCAGGAGCTGGAGCCATGGAAGGGAAGCTGCTGGAGGCAGAGAACAAGGGAAAGAAAAGCCCTGGTTTCTTCTTTGCCCTGACCCCCTCCAATCTCCCAGCAGTGCTTCCTCTTGACTGAACCCAGTGGAAACCCAGCCCACAGGGCCAGTCCCTGCAACCCAGTGCTGAGCAGGGGAGGCAAGGGCTGGATCAGCACAACCCAGCCTCCACGATCTGGCCTCTGCCTACCTCTCTGACTCTGTCTCTTATGCGCCCTCCTTGGACCCCTCCCGCCACACTGCCTGCTGCTTATGTTCCAGCCTGGGCCTTTGTACTGTACTGGCGCCCTCTGCCTGGGGTGCAGGTCATCATGTGCTGGCCCCTTCTTGTCTTTCAGGTCTCAACTCACAAGTAACTATCATCATGAGGCCTGTCTTGACTCCCCCGAGATAAATCAGTGCCTCCCCCACAGCTGCCCTATCACTCTCTATCACATCTCTATCTCTGTCACATAGTGCTCTTGTCACTGTGTGAAATTACTTTGTTCATTTCTTTATTCAGCGACTATTTGAGTACCAATAAATGCCAGGCACCATCAGAGGCACTGGGATACAGCAATGAACATAACACAAAAGAACCTCATCTTCGCTGGGCTTACATTCTAGTGCACGAGACTGAAAGGAAAGAAGGAGGTGGATGCGAGGGAGAAATATAAAGCAGGGTAGGGGATGTGCTGACAGTGGGGCTTGCTGTTTTAACAGGGTGTTCAGAGGAGGCATCACTGCTAAGTGATATTTGGAGAAAGCCCTGAAGGAGGTGAGGAAGTGACTCATATAGGTACCCAGGATAAGAGCATTCCGAGGATGGGGAACAGCCAGTGCAAAGGCCCTTAGGCTCAGCATGTTGAAGCTGAGAGAGTAAGGAGAGGAGTGAGAGGAAAGGTGGGGGCTATGGGACAGATCCTATAGGGCCTTGTAGGTCACTGAGAGGACTCTGGCTGTGGAAGGGTCGGAGGAGAGGGGTGACATGATCTGACTTTGTTTAACCCACTCTCCCAGGTTGCTGTGTTGAGAATAGACCATAGGGTGGCAAGGATGGAGGTAGAGAGACAGCTAGGAGGCTATTGAAAATAATCCACAAGAAACTCCGGTACCTTGTACCAGGGTGGTAATGATGTACGTGGTGAAATGTGATCAGATGCTGCATAAATTTTTACAGTAGAGCCAATGGGATTTGCTGATTTAGATGTGGGATGTAGGAGAAAGGGAGGAACTGAGGATGACTCTAGAGTTTTGACCACAGAAATGGGAGGATGGAGTTTATTACAGTGAGAAAGACTTCGAGAGGAGCGGATTTGGGATAGGAGATTAGTAGTTCCGTTTTGAACCTTGCAATAACCACTAACACTAATATACACTTACAGTGTGCCAGACGGTGTTCCAAGTACTTTACATCTGATGACTCAGTTAATCCTCTCAGAACTCTATGAATAGGTAGTAATATTCCCATTTTATATATGAGGTAACTGAGGTACAGAGAGATTAAAGTTCCGAGATCACAAAGTCACTAAGTGGCAGAGCCAAGACTTGGAACCAGGCAGTCTGGTTGCAGGGTCCATGCCTTCAGTAGCTCCCCTCTGCTGCTGCCGGGGGCGCATCCAGTGGAGAAGTTGCCTTGGCACCTGGACATGTGAGACTGGGCTCCGGGGAGAGCTGGAGCCTGGAGATATTCATTTGTATACACTTGGGAATTGTGTTCATTTCCTAGGGCTGCCGTACCAAAATACCACAAACTGGATGGCTTAAAACAACAAGAATTTGTTGTCTCACAGTTCCGGAGCCTAGAAGTCCAAAATCAAGATATCGCCAGGGTCATGCTCCCTCCAAGACTCTGAAGAGAAGCATTCCTTGCCTCTTTCTAGCTTCTGGTGGTGGCTGGTGAGCCTTGGGATGCTGCCTGTTGCTTGGCCAAGGATGGAGCCTGGCCTCCCGAGACATGACCTGTAATCAGCAGGCGAATGATTAAAGCCGCCTGGCTTGCAGCTACCTTGCTGCACTCTCTGCTTCTGTCATCACAGGGTGTTCTCCCGTGTGTCTATCTTTACATCGTCGTAATGGATTAAGGGATCACCTTATTTAGTACGACCTCATCTTAACTAAGGACATCTGCAACAGTCCTATTTCCAAATGAGGTCTCATTCTGAGGTACCAGGGGTTAGGACTTGAACGTGTCTTTTGGGGGGACACAATTCACCCATAACAGGAATCTTTAGGATGCAGATGGTAATTCAAGCCATGAGACTAGCGGAGACCACTTCACTAGCCCATAGGGAGGGACTAGAAAGGAGACAAAAGACCTAGCTTGGGGAATGCCACCCTGGAGAGTTGAGGGAATGAGGAGAAACCAGCAAAGGAGACTGAGAAGGAGCAGCGAGTGAGGTGGGAGGCAAAGTGGGAGTGTGTGGTGTCTTGGAAGAGAGGGGAAGAAAGTGTACAAGGAGGAGGGAGGACCAGCTGAGTCCAGTGCAGCTGATAGGTCAAGTGAGAGGAGGCTGGGGAAGTGGCCATCTGATTTGACAACTTGGCGGTCATTTACCAGCACTGTTTCAGTGGAGTGGAGACGATGAAAGCCTGCCTGGCATGTGCTCATGAGGGATTGGGAGGAGAGGACTTGGGGACAGCAAGCACGGAAAACTCGATTTATGTGTTTATGGTCTGTCTCTCCACATGGAAGAACCATGAGAGCAAGGACCTTGGGGTATCCTATTCATTTCTGTATCCCAGTGCCCAGCACACTGTATTTGTTAAACCATGTTGAATATTGTATTTGTATCTCCCTCAAATGTGGGAACCCGTAAATTTCCAGTTTGGCCATACCAACAAAGAGTAGAGAGGAATGATAGGGCTGCATTGACTTCTCTGGTTCCTTCCAGCTCTGAAATTCTGGGATTGTGTGACTTGTTCTGTCAGCCTCCCTTGTATTAATATAGTAAGGAATTTAGTGAGTTGTTTCTTATTTGTTTTCGTAAGCAACTGTTAAATGAAATAGCTGGAATAAATGTTCCATTCATAAATTTAACAAACATTTGTTGAGTGCCTACAATGTTAGGTGCTATATATATGTCTCATTTAATAGATGTAAGAGCAGAGGGCCTGGGGTGGGGGAGGGTAGTCAGGAGAGGTGATGGAGACCTACCACTGCTAATGCTCCCTGAGGTCCAGGGTGCTCTGATGTGATTGGTGCTACTGTGGTTGCCACTGAGGAGGGAAGAAGGCCTGTGTGGCCTGAGTGCAGGAGGTGGCACAGCTGCAGCTGCCGGGCACACAGAGCAGCATTTACTAAGGCATAAGCAACCTCTATCTGCTTCATCACTAAGCAGCCCAGGGCGGCCACACAGAGCAGCTGTTCAGGCACTGGGAGGAGGGGAAGAGGTGGTCCTCAGGTCCACCCTGCCACAGGGCAAATACCCAAGTCTCTGCCACATTCAGGGCACAGGCTTGTGTCGTGGTGAACAGAACCACTGGATTTTTGCTTCATGACCTATTTTGGCTCTCATAAGGTGCCGTGAAGTAGGGCAAGGCTTAGCAGTTACATTCTAAGGTGAAGAGAGGAGGGCTCTGAGCATTATAAGATCTGTGGAACAGGGGCAGAGCCAGGACAAGAACCTGGAGGTCCTGATGTTACTAAGAAATGGGCTCGCTCTGCTCACAGCGATCTGAGCCAATTAATCACAATGAGTTAGAGATCAAGAAAGGAAGCTTTAATTTAATTAGCTGGCATAATTGGAAGATAGGTGACTTATGTCTCAAAAAACCCATCTTTAAGAATTACAGAATCTTGGGCTGGCCCCGTGGCTTAGTGGTTAAGGGCGCACACTCTGCTGCTGGTGGCCCGGGTTCAGATCCTGAGTGCGCACCAACGCACCGCTTCTCCGGCCATGCTGAGGCCGCGTCCCACATACAGTAACTAGAAGGATGTGCAGCTATGACATACAACTATCTACTGGGGCTTTGGGGGAAAAAAACAAATAAATAAAAATTAAAAAAAAAATTACAGAATCTTGAATTAGTTATGTAGGGAAAATGGGCAGTAAGGAGGGGGTTTAGAAGTGTCAGCCTTCAGGTATGACAGACTCCAGGGTCTTGCATTGTTCTTTTCTTCTGGCAGTGATGATGAATATCCTATAGGTGTTCCTTTTTCCTGGCAGCCTTCTTATTCCTTGGGAAAAATTTGTTAAGATTGTTAAGAACAAAGCTATCAGAATACCTCAGCAGGTGTATGTGCACAGGATCAGGGCCAGAAAATCATGCAAGTGTGTAGTAACTCATAATGATTACATACTTGGCGGTTCTAACTAGGAAAGGGTCATTTAGCATAACAAGATGGCCTCACTTATGTTCACTTACACTGACTCCAAGTGTCTGCCCCAGGAATAATAGGAAAGAACATGGATTCTGTGGTCTGGTCCTAGACTAAATAATCTTCACTTGATGACTGCCCCCCCCCATCCTTTCTGAATCAGGATACCTCAGTTTCCTCATCTGTAAAACAGGAAGAAAAATGTTCTCCTCACAGGAGCCCTTGCAAAATCAAGGGCATGATGTGCTGAAAGCGCTTTGTAACATACAAAGTGCTCCCCAGACAATTATTTCGGTTATAAACCACCAGGGCAGGATTCCTCTTGTGATTATAGATTAGGCTCTCCTACCCATCTGACCTGGCCCTTTGTTCCACTTTCCACTCATTTTCTCCGTCCCTCCCCCTTCAACAAAGAGAGGAAGTGAGAGACAAAGAGAGCACGTGCATCTAATGCCCAAGTTAAGACTGGCTCCGGGTAACGCGCAGGCTTCGCCGCCCCAGGGGTGGTGAGAAGCGACCCCGCCCAGAACTACATTTCCCAGCAACCCTTTCGTAGCGCCGGCGGTGGCGGGAGAGAGGCGCCTGCGCCGAGTGCCGCCCCGCCTGGTCTCGGGGCCGCCCCTCCGAACCAGTTTAGCCTCGCGGAGCGGGCAGGTCCCGGCACTGTGGCCGGGGTGCTCGCCTCGCCGCTCCTTTCGGCCGTAGCGGGCTCAGGTGTGCCTTAGCTCCGGTCATTGCCATGATCCGGCAGGAGCTCTCCACATCCTACCAGGAGGTACAAGGCAGTGGGGGGCGGAAGCAGAGTTTCCTGTGAGGCGGAGGAGCGGGGTCCCGAGGTCTGGGCGGGTGGCGTCCGGGCGGGCCGAGGAGCGGGTGCGTGCTCGGGGGAGGGGTCTCCGCGTGCAGAGGAGCAGCGGGCCAGGAAGGAAGCGGGGCGCCGAGCCTCCTCCGGATGCTGCCGTCCCTTGGCCGAGGGATGGAGCCGGGGCCCCCCCGGAGCCGCGACCCGTAACCGGCAGGTGAATGATTAAAGCCTCGTCGGACCGGGCAGGACCCCGAGTGGCCCCAAGGACCCCGGCGTTCTCTGCCACAAGTGGAAGCACCCTCGCTCTCCTCCCAGCTGGAGCAGATGCGCGGTGGGCATCAGCCCGCCTCCCAGCCCAAGGCCTCGTGGCCCTGCAGCTGTTAATGACAGGGATAATTACATCTTGTGGTGGTGGCCGCCTGACTTTGAAGATGTGCTTTCACCGACGCAGCTACTGCTCGCTCCGCTCCGTTTATCTCTTCAGTCTCACCTCCTCCCAAGACTTTATCACTTTCTAGTTCTTTGTCTGTTTCTTATCTGTTCTGAGCTACAGGCTTCGGTTCCAGCTTTTCCCTCAGACCAGCTCTTCCTCCTGCCTCTTACTGAAACTGGTGACCTGCTCTCCTCCTCAGGTCTCAAACTTTGGTCGTGTCTGGTACTCTTCCTCCCCTGTGCCCTTCACTGTGTCCCCCTCACTTGGCAAGTTAAGGCAGTTTCACATCCTCAGTCCTCAGGTTTGTGTAACTGTGTTTGCTCCAACCACCTGAGTGTCATACTGTGTCACCACCACCTCTCCCTTTGGTGTCTCTGATGCTCTGCAGATTTTCGTTTTGAGACCCTGCCTTGATCCCAGAGCATTCCTTTTTACATACACCTGATGCTGCCCTTGGTCTACCCAGAACAGTCCAAACTTCTTAGCAAGCTTTCAAAGCTCTGCACAGCTCAGCAGCCGTATGTTCTATTACCTTCATCATCCCTTCACCCACCCAGCTTCCGGCCACACTGGAAGCTCACTGTTTAACAGTCTTAAACATTTAGCTGTCTCTATGCCTGTGCTCACGCCATTTCTTCTTTAACTCCCTCTCAAGCTCCCTTGGTTAAAATCCCCTCATTATTCAAGGGGGAGGGTCTCATTATTTATGCTCACTGGAGACTGACTTCTGAGACCAGCCTAGCATTCTGTCCTTCATACATGAACTTGCTGCTGTTTTCATCAATACTAGTCAATACTGGTGTACATTCTCCCTTTGTAAATGATACTGTGTGGAGTGTATAAAGCACATGGTTTAACCCCACAGTAGAAGGGGAAACCGAGTTGAAGATGGGTGAGATTTGTCTAAGACTTGCCATTTTTTAGTGTAGGACCTGGACTGGAATCTGACTTTGGGACAAATTTCTGTATTTCTCCTGCCGTCTCCTTTATCCAAAAGGAGCCTAATGGATTTTAACCAGTGCTGTGGGTTCTCTGGCCCCTAGATTCCGTAACCTAGACAGTGGGGCAATCCTGGGGAATGAGTTGTGTCTTTCCCTGACTCTGAAAGTTTTCAGGGTTATAGGGAGTAGAGCATAGTGGGTAAATATGAGGACTTTGAAGTCAAAAAGCCCATGATCGCATCCTGGCTCTGCCTCTCACCATTTGTGTGACTTTTGTTAAGTCACTTAACTTCTGTGAGCCTCTCATTTCTTCATCTGCAAAACAAAGGTAATGATAGTCCCTATCTCATAGGTTGTGAGGATTAGAGGAGTTGGTATGTGGAAAGTGCTTAGCTCAGTGAATGACGGCTCTTGTGAACAGGATGTGGGCAGCTTCTGCTTCTAGGGAGGTTTCGGGTCCTGGTTTACGGGACAGTGTCTCTCCTCATCCACATGTAACCTGCAGTATCTCCTTACCTAGCAGGGCTCCTAAAATGTTTGTTAAAATATAGGCAGTTATCCTGCTTGCAGGGGCAAGGCCAAGGGTGGAGTCAGTTTCTATTTGGGCCCCCCCCCCATGGTGGAAGGCAGTGGAAAGACCCCTTCCTTTGCCTGCTTCAGTGGCCCATTCTGAAGTCCCTGTCTCTCCCCTTCTTCAGAAGAAGGAGGCCTCCGGGAGTGACCTGCATCTTTCTTGCCTGGATCATTCTGAGAGGGGACTTAGCTCCAAGTTAGGTTTCTTTTCTGAGGGGAGACTTTGGCTTTAGGGGATGGGGCATGCTGAGAATTTGGCCAGATGCAAGCAAGGAGGTGGGCTCATTATGACTGCAGGTAGTCAGGAAGGGAACTGGGTTAGGAGTGTGTTGCCGCCTGGGTTAGCCTGAGCCTGGGCTAACCCAGGCTTGGATCAGAGAACTTGGGGCCTTCCCAGGACTAACATCCTCCTTTCCCTTTGGCCAGTGAGAGCTCTGGGGACCTCTTGATCTGTGCTCCCGCTGAGGACCTGTATCTCATGGTGCCTTCTCTAGTCTCCCGGCCCCCTTGCACTTGTTGGTTTTCTTTTCTTTGGGGCTTGGAGGGCTGTAAACTGGGGGTTCTACCTGATTCTAAGGGGCAGGAGTGGAGACATGGAGAGGGGAATGGAAAAAATACATAAAGAGCTTTATTTTAGCTCAAGTGTCCTGGAGATGAATTTTCAGTGAAACTGTCTTGAGACCTTAATCATTGACACTGTGAGCCTAAGAAAATACTTGGGAAAGCTATCCCCCCCACCTCCCAATTCAGTGATAGGTCCTCCTCTAAACTCTGTTCTCGATCTCTCTGGCCCTCCTTAATGCTACAGAGACTTGTTGGTTATCATTGTATCCTTTTTTGCCCACCTACCCTCCTCAGTGACATCATTTTCCCCATTTCACAGGTGAGAACACGGATGCAGTGAGGTCGAGGTTACCTGCTATGAGGCTGCTAATTAGCATCTGTCTCTGGGAGGGATTGCTCTCCCTACTTTGTTCTGCCACTTGCAGCCTGAATTGGTGGACTTTGGTCAGAGTCCTGGAGAGCTCTGACACCAGCTTCCCTGTTCCTTCTCTCTCAGCAGACTCTAAGCCACGTTTCCTCCTCCTTTGGGAAGTAGTTAAGATCATGGGCTTTGGAGCTAGGCCAACTTGGATTTGACTCCTGGCTCTATGGCCATGGAAAGTGTTGTGGGTTGAATTGTATCTCCTCAAAAAGATACGTTGAAGTCCTAACCCCGGTACCTCAAAAGTGACCTTATTTGGAAATAAGGTCATTGCGGATGTAATTAGTTAAGATGAAGTCATACTGGAATAGGGTGGGCCCTAATCCAATATGGTGTCATTATAAGAAGATGATTATGTGAAGACACAGAGACTCCACGTGAAGATGGAGGCAGAGATTTGACGCATCTGCAAGGCAAGGAACGCCAGGGATTGCTGGCCATTATCAGAAGCTAGGAGAGAAGCATGGAAAAGATTCTCCCTCACAGCCCTCAGAAGGAACCAACCCTGCTGACACCTTGATTTCAGATTTCTAGCCTCCAGAACCGTGAGGGAATGAATTTCTGTTGTTTTAAGCCACCCAGTTTGTGGTGCTTTGTTAACAGCCATGGGAAACTAATATATAGCAAGTTACTTGAGTTTTCTGAGCTTCAGTGTCCTCCTCTGTAGAACTGGCATAACACACCCTACATCGTGTGATTTTTTTTTTTTTTGGTAACGATTAAATGAGAAGCAGCTTCTGCCTGCTTATTCTAGCCCAGAAGTGCAAGGCTGGTGGAGCTGACCTGTTTGTTTCTCCCTTTAGCTGAGTGAGGAGTTGGATCAGGTGGTTGAGAACTCAGAGCAGGCGGACGAGCAGGAAAAGGAGACAGTCAAAGTCCAAGGTGCAGGAATCTTACCGGGTAAGTGGGTTCAGTGCTGGGGGTGGAAGTCCTGGAAAACAGTGCTGTGCTGTTGCTGTAGCTGGAGGCCATGGTCCAGGCGCCTCACCAGCTGGGTACCTGAGGGAGAGGAGGAGCACCCCCAGCCCTGCACCCTGGTGTCAGATCTCAAGTGTTGCCCTAGTTTTAAAGCTATACATATTTAACCAGGCATGGGACAGAGGGGGTGTCCAGTACCTGCTCTTTTCTGTGCTCCAGTTTGAGCTAGTTCCTGAGGCCAGGCTGTTGGATACATAGCAAGGGCTTTGGGTGTCTGCTCTTCTGTTCCTTTTTCCCTTGGAAGCTGTCAGCAGTTGAGCCTCCGATATCTGGGTCACTTCCCAGGGCCCTCTGGGAGGTTATCTAATAGGCCCCACCTCTCGGACATCAGGCCTCTTCAGTATCGTTGCCCAGCTGGGTGGTCAGGGTCCTATCCGTAAGGTGGTGTCTTATGGAGCCTTGCATTAGGTCAACCACTTCTTCCTCCTGGATATACTCTGCTCCCTTAGCTTCCCTGATGTAACACTTCAGTTCTCAGACCATTCCTTCCAGCCTCCTTTGTAGTCGCTATCTACCTCTTGGGTGTTAAACGTTTGTCACAGGCCCCCTTCCCTCACTCTCTAGTGGGCGGTCTCACCCAGGCCCCTTCCCCTGCTTCAGTCACCGCTTGCTTGCACTTGACTGCCATGTTTACATCTGTAGCCCAGAGGTTACCTGGAAACTCCAGACTTATGTAGCCCGTATATCCAAATGCTCGGGTGATAGCTCTGCTTGGATGTCCCAAAGGTCCCCTAAACTCCACATGTCCAAAATTGCCCTCGTGATTTCCCCACGCCCAGCTTGGCCCTCTTCCAGTGTTTCCTATTTCCGGGAATGTTACCACCCATCCAGTTGAACCTAGGAGTCATTCTTTTTCCCTTCCTTCCCTTCTTCCCCTTTCTCTCTGCCCCTCAACCCTGCTGGCTTTGTTTTGTTTTGGGCCTCATTCCCTCCCACCATTGGGCCTTTTTCTTGTTGTATTCCTCTGCCTGGAATTCTCTTCCCTCTGTCATCTAGTTAACGTCTAATCGTTCTTCAGCTCTCAGCTCTCATTTTTTCCTACAAAGCCTTCTGTGACCTCCTGGCTACATCCCTTCCCCCTCCGACCCTGTCCCTTATAGCCTGCGCACGTCTCCCTTGCACCTATCGGTGATGGACTGGTATATTTGTTTGCCTGACCATTTGATTAATGTCTGTCTATTCTACTAGAATGTGAGCTTCACGAGGGTAGAGACCAGTCCATTTTGGTCACCACCTTAGCCCTGGCCGTGCAATGAGGATTTGTTGAATGAATGAATGAGTGAATGGAGCCCCAGCCTGACTCCAGCTTCTTGGGTGGATTGAGGGAGGTGGGATTCTGCTCCTCTTGATCCCTGTGTTTGTAGGGGAGGGCAACTGGGTGGGGAATTCTGTGATTGTGTCTAATCCTCAGAGAAGACTTTGTAGAAGGAAGGACGCTGGAAGGGCAGCTCAAGTTTACCAACTGCTTCCTCTGGGCCAGGCTCTGTCATACCCACTGCCCCGTTTATAATTTTATTTATTTATTTATTTTTCCCCAAAGCCCCAGTAGATAGTTGTATGTCATAGTTGCACATCCTTCTAGTTGCTGTGTGTGGGACGCGGTCTCAGCGTGGCCAGAGAAGCGGTGCGTTGGTGCACGCCTGGGATCCAAACCTGGGCCGCCAGCAGCGGGGCGCATGCACTTAACCACTAAGCCACGGGGCCGGCCCACGGTGTGTACTTTTAAAGCACGTTAATCCACCTTGCCACAAAAAAAGCCAGTGGTTGGTTTTTCTGATTGCAGGATACATGGGACATTTTGTCAAATACCCAGCACTTTTTTTTTTTTAATTGATGTCTTAATAGTTGATAACGTTGTGAAATTTTAGTTGTACGTTATTGTTTGTCAGTCACCATATAAATACCTCCCTTCACCCCTTGTGCCCAGCCCCCAGCCCCCTTGCCCCTGGTAACCACCAAACAGTTCTCTCTGCTCATGTGTTAGTTTATCTTTTACATATGAGTGAAGTCATGCAGTATTTGTCTTTTTCTCTCTGGCTTAATTCATTTAGCATAATACCTTCCAGGTCCATTCATGTTCTTGCAAATGGGACAATTTTGTCTTTTTTTATGGCTGAGTAGTATTCCGTTGTATATATATACCACATCTTTATCCAATCGTCAGTCGAGAGACACTTGGGTTGCTTCCACTTCTTGGCTATAGTGAATAATACTGCAATGAACATAGGGGCAGCACCTTTTTTTTTAAGTTGTAAAATGTAATGGCATTTAGTTTCAGAATTCGAGTGTCTCTTATAGGGTGTGTGGATGATAAATAGTTTTACAGTTTTTATTTACATGCCAGTTTGTGGACCAAGAAGAGACCTGTAAAGAAGCTAAACTTGGCTTCTGTGAGTGAAACAGAAGAGACTGTCTTGGCCAGTGTTCCCATGGAGTAATTTGTCCCAGTACCTCCGCCAAGCAAATCTAAGTGATGTGATTGTCATGTGACTTTCTGTGCCTTAAATTAGTTCTTTTAGAATTTTCAAGAACATGTAGGGAGAGATTCATCTCTTTCCCTGATCAAAGGCGTCCTGAAGGCAGAACATTGCCAAGTCATGTTTATCAGCTTATGGTAGAGTGGATACCTGCCTACAAATGCCCATCCTTGTTTGTCTTCATTATATGGTTCAGCCTGGTCGTAATAAGCAGTTTACCTTAAAAATGTCCCAAACTTCTACTTGTTATGAAGTTATATTCTTTCGATCAGGTCTTCTTTTATCATCATTGGTGACTGGAATCTTAAGTACTAATGTTCACTGTCATGAACATTAGTGTCATGAACAGGGAAAGAGCATTGACTAGGAGTTGGGACTCCAGGACTCTCATTCTGTGCCAGTTATTGACTGTGTGACCTGGGTCACTGCACAAGGAGTGGAGTTGGATCGGATGGCCTTTTAGGTCCCTCCACCTCTTAAAGATTCTCCCCAGAGGTTATACACCAAATCAGTCCCTTCAGAGTTCCTTCAGTTTTGTCTCATGATCTTTTAAAATCCCATTAGAATGTAGCAGCCCAATACCTGTTGCCACTGCAGTTTTGAGCAGCTCATGATGGTGAATGTGTTTTTACCTGCCATGTTTTGAAGTGAACCTATGGTCCCACATGGACCATGGGAGCTTGAGAGTGCCTTCTAAGCAAAACAGCTGTGGGTAGGTACCTGTGGACAGGCCACCATACTTTGGGTCCTGTGGCCTTGCAGCCCAGCTACACCTGACTGATCAGGAATCAGCACCTGAGCTAAGCAAAACCATCTGTAGGTTGGGTATGAAGGAGGGCAGTGTCTTGTGATGTGTCTAACAGGGCACCCTACACAGGGTACTCTCTGGGAGAGGGTCTGAATGTAAGACTCATGGAGAGGGACTTAGTAAAGTGGAGCAGGGTCATGAGAGTAACATGAAGAGAAGGCAGATAGCAAAGACGTGAGGGAGCAAAAATTGACACAGTCTCTAATAACAATAAGAAGCAGCAAAAGTAGAATCAGAGGCAAAGAAGCTGAAAAAGAGAATTGCTGTGTACCTTGGTGGCTTTGCTCTCAGCTGCCCAAGGGGTTTCCCTGGGGCTTCCTGGTTCCTCACTTCTCTTTGTAGCTGTAGGGTAAACATTCATTGCCTACAGTAACCTGTTCTTTACGGCCTGCAGGAACCTCACAGACACTTCTGGGAATTTGCACTTCTGTGTAAAGGGGAAACTTTCTAAAGTATTTTGCCAGAAATAGCAAGGCATACCAATTGGTTTATAGTTTTACATGCCTTAAATGGGCTAGTGTTCTCTGAGAAATTGAGGGTAGCTAGTTAGCTTTGCAAGACTTAGCTCATCTGTTATTTGAGTTATTCATTTAACACACATGGCAACATTACACACCTACTATGTGAAAGACACTGTATTCTGCCCTACCTCCATTTTATTTTTGGTGTATATTTTTTTCTAATTCATTATTATTAAGAGATTGTAGTGCCATGGTCTTCATTTTTGCTATCTTCATCATTTAGGGCTTCATTTTTTGAAGGCTAGAGGGTACATTTTGTTTCTCCAGTGACAGTAATTCATTGAGCAGGCACTCTGTAATGCATATTGCAACATTCTCTCATTTACTTCTGTTAGACATCCTATACAATTGGAATGATTATTTCCTTTTCACTTAAAGAAAGTGAGGATTAGGAGCCTTAAGTAATTTGTCCTAGGTCACAGAGTAGTTAGTAGCAGAGCTGAAGCTGAAGTCCAAATCTCTTTGACTCTAAAGCTCATGCTCTTAACCACTGGGCTAGATATCTGGTCTGTCTTTCAGTTCAGAAAATAAGTGAATAATGAAAACCAGGTTATTTCTTCCTCAAAATCCCCCTGGAGCTTTAGGCACGGGGCTATGTGACATCCTCTGCAAAACCTTTGCTGATCTCTGCCCTTCTCCCCGTACTCCCCATTCTTCCCTTTGAGCAAGGGATATCTCACTTTTTACGTCCTCACATCCTTCTGAATTCTGTAGCACTTGTGGCACAGACCATCAATCTTCTCTTGGTATCTCCCTGAAGCACCTAGCACAAAGTCTTGCATATAGAGTTGATGCTTGATGCATGTTGGTAATATAAAATGAATGATTTCCTTATCTCTACCAACCTAGGACACTTTGATAGTTCTGTGCTGATCCTGCTTTTGTGCTTTTAAATAAAAGAAATAATTAGGAGCAAATAGTCTTATATCTTTGTATTTACAGTCCATCTTTTATAGACAGCATATAGTTGAGTCTTGTTTTTAATCCAGGTGACAGTCTCTGCCTTTTAATTGGAGTGTTTAGTCCAGTTACATTTAATGTAATTATTGGTATTGTTGGATTTGGTTCTACCATTTTGCTGTCTTCTGTTTATCTCATATGTTTGTTTCTCTGTTCTTCTTTCCTGCAAGTTATAAACCTTACAATATTGTTGTATAATTTCTGCTTTAGACAGTCTTAAATTTTAAAAATATATAAAGAGCTTTTTATATTTACCCATCTATTTAACATTTCCAGTGATATTCATTCCTTCCTATATATTTGAGAGTTATCTTCTAGTATCATTTCCCTTTAGCTTTCAGAATTTTATTTAGCATGCATTGTAGTGCAGGTCTGTTGGTGATGAACTCTCAGCTTTTATGCTTGAAAATATCTTTATTTCATCTTCATTTTTGAAGGTTAGTTTTGCTGGATTTCTTTAATTCTAGGTTGACAGAATTTTTTTCTTTCAGCACTTTAAAGATGTTCCATTGTCTTTTGGCCTCCATTTTTTCTGATCAAAAGTTACCTATCGTTAGATAAAATATCCTGTATGTAATATATCTTTTTTTGTTTTCTGGCTGCTTTCAAGATTTTCTTTTTTTTTTTTTTGAGCTAACATCCGATGCCAATCCTCCTCTTTTTTTGCTGAGGAAGATTGGCCCTAGGCTATTATCCGTGCCCATCTTCCTCTACTTTATATGGGATGCCACCGCAGCATGGCTTGATAGTTAGTGCATGCCCAGGATCCGAACCTGCGAGCCCCGGGCTGCCACAGTGGACTGCGTGGACTTAACTGCTACGCCACTGGGCTGGCTCCCAAGATTTTTTTTTTTTTAACCTTTGCATTGGCAGTTTGACTATAATTTACCTATGAGTGATTTTCTTATCCTGCTTGGCATGTATTGAGTTTCTTGGATCTTCAATTTTATGTTTTTTCTACAGTTTTGGGAAGTTTGGGCTGTTACGTTTTTAAATATTTTTTGTGACTCATTTTCTCTCTCCAGTTGCGTGTTGTTAGACTGCTATATATTGTTCCACAGTTACCTAGGCTCTGTTCATTTTTTTTCTTCAATCTTGTTTTTTAGGATTGGATAATTTATGTTTGTTTACACTGACTCCTTTTTCTTCTGCCATCTTTTGCTGTTGAGAACTATGCAGTCAATTTTTCATTTCATTTATTTTTGTTTTCAGCTCTAGAATTTCAATCTGGGTCTTTTTTATAGTTTCTATTTCTCTCTTTCCCCTCTGTGCATTCCTTATCTATATATTTTCCTTTAGGTCCTTTAAGTGCTGTAAAGTTCCTGTCTGCTAATTGCAACATCTGGGTCACCTTGGAATTGGTTTCTGTAGACTGCTTTTTGTTTTTCTTGAGTATGGGTCACATTTTCTTGTTTCTTTTCATGTCTAGTGATTTTTGATTGAACACTAGACATTATAAATGATACATTACAGAGGTTCTGGATTTGTTATGATCCTGTGAAGATGAATTTGTGTCTTAGCAGATAATTAATGTGGCAAGACTCAAGTTCCAAACTCCTTTGTCCCCTGCATTAGCAGCAGCTGAAATCTCCACTTAGTTCTTTCAGTTTCTGGCTGCTGCTTTGGGGTCTCCAGCCAAGAATTTGAGCATATTTGCAGATTTGGGAAATCTGCAAATTTGCTCCCCTATATGGCTCGCTCCCTTTCAGAGCTTCCCCCTAACTTGCTGACTGCTCTGCCAGCCCTGAACTCTGTCCACTGTCGCCCTGAGCCACGTCTTATAGAGATTGGTGAGTGCCCTCAGGCAAAAAGCTGCGAATTTACAGATCTCACCAGGTGCAGTTCTTTTCTTTCAAGACTCTCTTCCCATTTCTGCCTGCTTTTGATCATTCTCCAGTGCCTTCAAATGATTTTTAAATATTTTGTGCAAATTTTATGATTGTTATCTGTAGAGGGATGGTATGACCACACTACTCTGTCACTGTTGGAAGCAGGAAGCAAGAAGCAAGCACGTACCTTTTTGCGTTTACATTCAAACTGCTCCTCGTCTTGTGAGCAGCTGCTGTAGAGGAAATAGGGCTTTTCCTTAGGGAGCCACAGTTTCAGCCAAAGAGTAGAGATGGCACAAGGAACACTGTAGGAGTGTCTCAGTTTGCTTGGGGTGCTGTAACAAAGTACCACAGGCTGAGTGGCTTAAACAACAGAAATTTTTTTCTCAGTTCTGGAGTCTGGAAGTCCAAGATCAAGGTGTCGGTAAGTTTGATTTCTCCTGAGGCCCCTCTCCTCGGCTTGCAGATGGCTGCCTTCTCCCTGTGTCTTCATGTGGCCTTTTCTCTGTGTGCATGCATTCCTTGTGTCTCTTCCTCTTCTGATAATGACATTAGTCCTATTGGGTTAGGGCCCCACCCTTATGACCTTATTTAACCTTAATTACCTCCTTAAATACCCTGTCTCCAAATACAGTCACACTGGGGGTTAGGGCTTCAACATATGAATTTGAGGGGAACACAATTCAGTACATAACAGAGAGTAATCAAGGCTGGGGATGGTTTGAGAGGAGGCGGGAGAGGCAGACAGAGCTGTGTTGTAGAGGTGGCATCAGGACACATTTAATCAGTCATTTAGTCATTCACCGCATAAATGCAGAATGCCTACTCTATTCCAGACACGGGGTGAAGGGCCAGGGGTTCAGTATGAACAGGACTGGCCCTGTCCCTGCCCTCGTGGAGCTCACAGCCTAGGGATAAAAAGACATAGACGGACAGTGACATTGCAGAGTGATGATAGGGGACATATAGGGTGCCCTGGGAGCACTGAGGAAGGGTGCCCAAATAAAGTTATGGGGTCAGGCAAGGCTTTCTTGAGGAAATGCCTTTCTAAACTGAGAGCTGAAGGATGAGATAGGAGTCAGCTGTGGAATGGCCAGGCGTGGGGAATGGCAAATGTGAGGGGCTCCGGGGTTGAGGAGGGCACGCTGGAGGAACAGAAAGTTGTTTAGTACGGGTGGAGCTGGGGGCTGTGGGGGAGTGGAGTGGTGAGCGATAAGGCCAGGGAGGTAGGTTGGGGCTTGCTCGCTTGTTGGATTGTAACTATCTGTCCCGCTAGAGAGGAGGCTCCTTAAAGACAATAGCCAAGTCCCCTTCCTGGCAGCGTAGGTATGTAGTGAATGTTGACAGGTGCAGTGTGTTATGATTTGGGAGTTGGAGCAGAGGTGGGGAGGTTGGGTGTGTGGGCGCCTGCACACCTGGTAAAGCAGGTGAAGGATGTGGAGGTTGTCGACCTCCTCTGGCTGCACCTGCCCCTGCAGGTCACGAGTGTGTTATTGTCGTTCAGCCCTGGACAGTGAGTCTGCCTCCAGCAGCATCCGCTTCAGCAAGGCTTGCCTGAAGAACGTCTTCTCGGTCCTGCTCATCTTCATCTACCTGCTGCTCATGGCCGTGGCCGTCTTCCTGGTCTATCAGACCATCACAGACTTCCGTGAGAAACTCAAGCACCCTGTCATGTCGGTGTCTTACAAGGAGGTGGATCGCTATGATGCCCCAGGTAGAGCCTCCCAGACAGGCATTGGGGCCCAGGTCTGGGGCATCAGCTTGCAAATCCTCCCTGAGCCCCCAGTGCACTCCCAGCATCGTGCTGGGCACCGCAGGCAGGGCGGAGGAGTCCGAGCACAGTCTAGGCGTAGAGTACACACCCAGAGAGCTGCCATTGGTACCCAGCACAGTGTGTCATGTGCTGAGGAGAGAGGTGGGCAGAACGTGGAGTGGTCACTGTAGCACTGGGGTGGGCAAGGAACGCTTTGCATAGAGGCAGGGGTTGAGCTGGGCTTTGGTAGATGGGAAGAGAGTTTTTCTGGATGGAGGATCAGCAGGAGCAAAGGTGAGTACAGAGAGGCAGAGGGCTTCTCTGGAGAGGATGAGTCCAGCCTGGCTAGAGCCAGAGGCCAGTGACGAGGAGAAGTGGGAGTTAAGGGTGGCAGGGGGAGGCAAGGCCATCCAGAAGTGGGTGGGGCCCTGCCTGGAGAAGGGGCGCCCAGGCCACACCGTCCATCTCCTGTCCGAGTGGGGAGTCCAGTCCCCGAGCAGAGAGTCATCTCTGCCGTAGAGCGGACTGTCTGCTCCAGGGTGGTGGGCTGGCACGGGGCTCTGGAAGCGTGGGAGTGAGCCGGGCGGCATGAGCCGTCTGGGCTCAGGCTCTGCCCCTCTGGTGTGTGCCACCTGCTCTGCCCACAGCATGCCTCTGAGTGACCCTCCAGATGGCCTGCTCACAGGGCAGGGCCAGAGTCTCAGGATCCTTCTGCTTAAGGCTTCTCGACAAGCATGCTGGTTACGGCTCCTTAGCCCATCTCGTGTTTGTCCCCCTTCTCCGTGTGTCTGCTTTGGTCTCTATCTGTGGGTTTTACTCTCTGTCTCTGGTCTCCTGGCCTCTCTGAGCTCTGCCTGGGTCTGGTGCCATGTGCTGCTCTCCGTGTTTCTGCCACTGAGGTTGGAGCAGCTACTGGCAGTAGAGCCTTGGCTGAGGTGCCTTGGCTGGGGGAGAGGGAGGGACTGTCGGGGTGCGACTTGCACACCTGGAGCCCCCAGTCAGAGCAGGAGATGAGAGACGAAGTGAGACCTGGGGAAAACCCCGGTGAATGTGCAGGTGGGTGGCGGTGCCAGGGGACTTGCGCCATTAGGCTCAGTCACAGAGGCCCCCTCGGAGTGTGTGGAGCAGGGTTCTGAAGTGGGGCGGGTTTTGGTGCAGGCGCTGGGGAGGCTGCATCCCAGGCCGGGAGACAGGCTGACTGAGGAGGGGGTTGTGTTCCCATTAGAGTGGGGCTTTCTGAGGGCAGAGGATTTGGCTCCCCACCCTCCCTAAGCCTTTTCGTCTCCCTCCTGTGCAATCATCCAGGGAGTCTTGAACTTAGATTGTTGGTGGGTGTGAAAAAGTGTGTGTGACATGGTTTGAGGGGTGTGGTCAGGGACTCTGACTTCTGACGTTCACTTTTCCCTGTTTGTGCCCCCCAGGTATTGCCCTGTACCCCGGGCAGGCCCAGTTGCTCAGCTGTAAGCACCATTACGAGGTCATTCCACCTCTGAGGAGCCCTGGCCAGCCGGGAGACATGGACTGCACCACCCAGAGGATCAACTACACGGACCCTTTCTCCAATCAGACCCTGGTAACTCTGTCTCCCCGAGCTGGATCTGGGCAGAGTGCTCTGTCAGCCCCGCACCCCCAGGGCCCGAGTCTTCTCTGCCAGGTGGCCTCTCCTGGTCCCTTGATGCGGGCCCTCGGCCCCCAGCAGACACAAGGCCATGCCAGGTGGAGTTGTGGCTGTGGCTGGCTCGGCTGCATTCAGGGAGGATAATGAGGCCTTCAGCCTTCTCGGAGTAACCATCAGGGGTTCCTGATGATGTGATAAGATCATGTCGTTGGTGGAAGGATGAAGGGCTGCAGGGTGGGCCCAGCGTGACAGTGAAGTGGGTCCTATACCTGAAGGCTCAACAGAGTCACTGGGATCCTTTTTGAAAATATAGGTTCCCAGGTTCCATGAGGCCAACTGAATCATTTTTCATGGGGACAGGGCCTGTCCCCCATATTTCATATTTTGAAATATGCCAATGTAAAGAAGGAACAAGTTCCCCCGGCCCTGTCCTCACAAGCTGCTCAGCTCAGCTGGGAAATGGACAGCAGGGAGGAGCGGCACCTACACGGGGTTTTGAAGGCAGGGAAGGAATTTTGTATTTATTTACATCTCCCTTTCACCTCATATCCTTGCTTCAAAAAGGATTGAAAGGGGCTGAGTAAAAGTTTCCCAGATCAAAGAGGAAGGAAAGGTTTTTTAGGCAGAGGAACTCTGCACCAAGACACAAAGGGAAGAAACCAGATGTTGTCTTTGTGTCTCTGTGCAAGATTACAGTAGTTGGGTGTTTCTGGAGGGTTGGGTGCCCCCAGAAGAGCGGTGGAGGTGAAGCTGTGGGAGGAAGTAACGGCCGGGTGAGAACAGCATGTGAGTTGAGCTGCAGAGGATTTGCTCCTCTGGGTGGTAGGGAGCTACGAGTGGTCTTAAGATGAAAGAATCACACTAAGATTTTTTGTTAGTATGTTTACTCTAGGCTTCCTCTTAAAATCCTGCTGAAATAATGCCTACTCCTACAAAAAATAGAATAAAATATCAATAATAGCCCTGCAAACTAAGAAAGGGTATCACCAGTGGACCAGAAATTTTGAGGAACTAGTATAAAATATAAATAGCAAGTTGGGTCAGATTGATGGAGCAAACAAATCAGAGAAAACCCATACCCTAAAACGGATGTGGCAGAGGACTGTGGTAGAGGTGGAAGCTTTCCTTCCAGCTCCTGGCTCTGAGCACGTGCAGCGAGCAGGGCCGGCCATAGAGCTGTCATCAGGATAATAATTACAGGACCACCTTTTGGCTGGGCCTGCCACATCTTTTGCCCTACTGGGGCAAGCAGAGCTGCTGGGGACGGTGTGCTTCCAGGTCAAAGGCCCTGGGGCCATTCTCTATATAAGCTAAGGGAAGGTTCCCCGCTTGGACATTTGGGAGCAGAGAGAAACAGAGAAGAACTTGAGACTGGACCTCCACAGTGGAAGCTGGGGGAGAACTGCCGGGAAGGAATCTCCTCCCAGAAGAGAAATACTCGGAGTGCCCGGCCTGCTGGCCTTCCCTGCCCGCTGCTGCGCGGCATCCTCACAGCCAGCCCCAGACGAGGGTGAGCCTGTGAGAGAGCCACTTAGGAAGAAACCCACACCCCAGACCTCCACAGTCAACCTAATCCTTCCTTCAGAAAGAATGGAGAGTTAAGAGTCATTAGACGTTTACATGAAACCACAACATAAAAGAGAAAGACCAAGAGGAACAAAGAGAATGGACTGCAGAATAGGGAGATGGAAACTGATTTAAATGAAAGGAAAATAAATTTTTAAAAATTTTAATGAAGAGCTAGATATACAATAGAAACGCCGTCTGCCTGGATTCCCAGCTCTCTCCGTCCCCTCTGCAAACCTCCTAACCGGATGCCCGTGCACGCTTAAAGGCACAGCTGGTGCGAGCTCTCTGGGTGTCCTTCCTCTCAGTTCCCCAGTTGTGTAGGGCACTTACCAGGAGTCTGTTGCATTTATTCCCAAACCTGCTTGTGCCTGTTGTACTTGTTATAATAGTTACATAATTTAACTAAATATTGCAAAAACCCATGAAATAAGGGCACAAAAGGAGAGTTGTTTCCGTGAAAACTAAGTTGAATTGCAGCTACCATCTCCAGCTCTGGGTGATGGTCAGTCTTCTCCGCCAGTTCTAGACGTGGCTCCGCCATCCACAGCCATAAACTAAGAGAGTAGTTCTCTCCTCCCTGTGCCCCATGTCCCCACGTTAAACCAGGGCCTAGCAGGGAAGGAGGAATAGAGACCCTTGGTGGAACTCCCACGTGGAAAAGGGAAGAATGGGATGCGCACAGCAGCTGCTCTCGAGGCAGCGATGAAGCCCTGCTGGGTGGGACCTGGGAGATGTCCTGCCTCGACATGGAAGGAGCACCTTGGTTGGAGATTTCTGTGTCCTTGATAGCCCCTGCCCTTGTCCAGTGGGAGATTCTGCCTTGGCGGTGATCCTCCGTGGCCGTATCTGGAGTGGATATTAGAAAACACGCCCTCCCCGGGCTGCACAGCTCTGGGCACCCACTTCCTGCTGTATAGGTTAGGGAGCGGCTTTAGGGTAGACTTGGAGGTTGGCTTGTTGTTTTTCTCCTGCCCCCGCCCCCTTTGTTTGCAGAGATGTGTAGGCTTCTGGCTGTTTGCGTCCTGTGGAGTCCACGTGAAAGTGACCTAGCCAAGGGTCTCGTCTAGTCCTACTTCATCAACCTTCAGATTCTCATTTATTTTCTAGTCTCTCTCATTTCCTCGATATAATCTAGTTAACTTTTACCAAATGCTTTGCTCTGGCACTGTTAGGGTCACCGCCTTTCCAGTCCATAGGACCCACATCTGATTCCTCGCCGCCTGCCATATTCCCGGTGTCCAGATGTTAAGCTGATGCCTCATTTTAGGTTGTTGTTACCAGTTCCAGAAAACAACTTACGTATTGGTCAGAGAATAGGTTAAGTGACTGTACAAAAACAAACACTGCAAACACACACACTGTGGCTGAGACGAGAGAGGAGTCTCTTTCTCTGGGACAGTCTGGGTGTGTGGGCTGTGCCGCACTGTGGGCAGTGCTGCCTCAGGGTGGTCAGCGATGGCTTCTGTCTGTCACTCTGCTGTCCCCTCATCGTTGTCCTGGTCCTCGTGGTCAGCACTTGCTCACCAGCATGTGTACACGTGCCTGCTCCCAGGAAGGTGAGAAGTGGAGGGCAAGCAGTTCCCTCTTGTGGGCATGATGCGGAACTGCATGAGTCACTTTTGTGCACATTCCAGGAACTCCATCACATGGCCACATCAGAGGCCAGAAATGAGGCTCCAGCAGGGCGACTGCGTTCTGCTAAGATCTGGGACTGGGGAAGTGGTTCTCGTTCTACAGGAGGAAGTGGACAGTGGAAACTGGGGACAGTTAGCATCCTCTGCTGCCACTTAACATGTAATGGAAAGGTTGAAAATAAATAGGTGGACAAAGATCTCTTGAGAAAATGCAGCAATAACCAGAAGAAGTGGAGTGGCAATATTAATATCAGTCAAGATGGAATTACAGATGCAAAGGGTTAAAAGAGGAATGTTTCATATGGATAAGAGGTTCAACTCCACCACTCTCCACTAAGAGGATCTAGCAGTCATAGATCTTTATGCGCAAAACGCGTACCATTTGTATATTTCAGGCACAACCTGTTAGAAATCAAAAATACCATCACCTTAGAGCGTGACTAACACTTCTCAGAAATTCACAGATCAAATAGAAAGTAGGAAGGACAAGAATTGAATAGCACAATTAATAAATTTAGAGTGAGTGTGTGTGTTAACGCTTGGTGCCTGACAGTGGTCTCACTCTTTTCAAATATCTGTAGAGCATTTATAAAAGTTGATGATGTAAAGATATTTTTTCCCAAATTAATCTATAAATCCGGTATCATCACAGTTAAAAGTCCCAGTTGATTTTTTCGTGGAACTTCACAAGCTAGTGTTCAAGTACATTTGGAAGAGCACAGGTACAGAAATAACCCGCCAGGCTTGGGGATGGAAGGAGTTACGTGGGGGGGACCTGCCCAGTCAGATGCCAGAGCCGTGTGAATGCCCAGGGATCAAATCCTCATCTCTCCATTGTTTGGGGAGTGGGAGTTAGATCCCTGTGCACACCATATACAAAACTGAAAGCCAGGCATATAAAGCATCTAAATGTAAAAAAGGTTTTAAAAAAGTACTATAAAGAAATAGAGGAGAATATTGATATAATTTTGGTTTTTCTTTTCTTTCTTTTTTTTTTTTTTGTGAGGAAGATCAGCCCTGAGCTAACATCCATGCTAATCCTCCTCTTTTTGCTGAGGAAGACCGGCTCTGAGCTAATGTCTATTGCCAATCCTCCTCCTTTTTTTTTTTCCCAAAGCCCCAGTAGATAGTTGTATGTCATAGTTGCACATCCTTCTAGTTGCTGTATGTGGGACGTGGCCTAAGCATGGCTGGAGAAGCGATGCGTCGGTGCGCGCCCGGGATCCGAACCCGGGCCGCCAGTAGCGGAACGCACGCAATTAACTGCTGAGCCACGGGGCCGGCCCAATTTTGGTTTTTCTTAGCAAGCAAAACCTAGAAGCCATGAAGAAAAAGATTTATAAATTTCACTACATCAAATTTAGAGCTTCCTATAACAAATGACATTAGAAACAAAGTTAACAATAGTGACAGACTAGAAGAAAACATTTGTACGTATAACTGATGGAAGTTAATATATTTTCTCAACAAAGAGCTTCCATAGCACAGCCAACCAATGAGGAAATTGGACAGAGGACGAGTTGGCGCTCAGCTCTGGTTGGGGCACTGGGCGAGAGAGCTGCCCTGAGGGCTGAGCAGGAGGCGGCAGGGCTGGCTCGCACTCCCTAAGCAGGAGGGTGTGGCCAGCGGTCACTTTGGGGGCTGCCGGGGCAGAGCTATGGGCTTTCCAGTCACTCAAAAGTCTCTGTGCCTGAGGCGAGGGTCAGGAGCAGCCATGCAGCTCTCAGGGCTGAGATTCTGGCCTTTGTGTCTCTGCAGAAATCCGCCCTGATCGTGCAGGGGCCCCGCGAAGTGAAGAAGCGTGAGCTGGTCTTCCTCCAGTTCCGCCTGAACAAGAGCAGCGAGGACTTCAGCGCCATCGACTACCTGCTCTTCTCTTCCTTCCAGGAGTTTCTGCAAAGGTGGCCTTGTAGAGTTCACAGCGGGCTTGCTATACACTCTGTCTTATTTCGGCCTTGCACATCCCTGGGCTGGGGACAGGGAAGGGGGCTGCAGATGACCCGCTGGCCTGGAGAAGGACCATCCTGGAGAAGGGCCTCTGGAGCTCAGTGGGTCTGTGAGACCTCTCCTCACACAGTTTAGTCAGGTGTGAGGAGTGTTCTGACTGGTGCACGCAGAGCTGGCTGCGTCCTGGGGAGAGGTTTGGTCAGCCCGATGCTGGGGCTGCTGACGACGCGAGGGCGCAGCCTTGATCTTGTGAGCCCCTTGACGGCAGTCCTGCCTGGTGCCAGGTTTCCCCTGTGGTGTCGTGGGAACCGTATCTGGCTCTCAGTGAGTGCTCGGTGCGTTTGCCGCACGTTTCTAATATGAGGATGACAGTTCCTGTCTGCATGTGGCTGAGCCGAGGGTGACTCAGTCCCTCCAGGTCCTGCAGAGCCCTGGGGCTCCATGTAGAGGAAGTGGGGAGGCAGCCACAGCAGGGGAGAGCCTGCTCCCCCAGGTGGCAAGGCTGTGAACTGTCTCTGCTGTTCACACCACCACCGCTCCATCCTTCCCATTCGGGAGCTTGTGAAGCCTCGGCCTTGGCATCTTCTGCTCTTTCTGCCACTTAGTATTCCCTCTCCCTCCCCCGCTTGAAGCTGGCCTGTCTGGCCTTCCCCTGCCTCCCCTCTGTGCTCCTTTCATGAGCTTCCTCAATGCTGTGCTGCAGTTTCCCTTGCTTGTGTGCACTTGATGATCTTGCTGCATCTGCACCACCCTGGGCAGACCTGTGGGTGTCCCATCTGGCCAAGAGCTCCCCAAGGAACCCTCTTTCCCTCTCCGGGCCTTCCAGAGGGAGGCTGACAGGCCAGTGATGGCTCCTGAGGGCTGCTGACGTCCAGAGGTCTCTGAGGAGCCAGGAGCACCATGCTGTGGGCATGTCTGCAGACTTCAGTGCCAATGGCCCTGGGAGCAGGTTGTTGGAACAATGGGGTGGGAGGGAGGAGGAATTTTCCCACTGGGAGCCTCAGGGATCCTGTTCCTGCCTTGAGATGGGTGACAACCTCCGCTCCATTTGGAAGCCAAGAAGCAGAGCTTGGAGAAGCAGCAGGGAGGGGCAGCATCCTGTTGGTGTCAACCAAGAAACCGGCTTAGTAGGGGCTGGAGTTTGGCCATGTTTGAATCCTGCTGTCAGGCCTGATTAACTTGGACCTTTCTTCTCTGTCCCCCAAGCCCAGACAGGGTGGGCTTCATGCAGGCCTGTGAGAGCGCCTATTCCAGCTGGAAGTTCTCTGGGGGCTTCCGCACCTGGGTCAAGATGTCCCTGGTGAAGACCAAGGAGGAGGATGGACGGGAAGCAGTGGAGTTCCGGCAGGAGGTGGGTGACACTGGGTTTGCTTTGCGCTGCCAGTGACTTCCACCCTTGAGTCTGGGGTGGAGGGAAGCTTCGCAGAGGAGATGACCTCTGCGCAGGGTCTTAAGGGTGAGTAGACCTTCACCAGGATGAGGAGGGCCCCCATGGCAGGGAGTTGATGTGTTCTTCCATAGGCAGTGCACATTGCAGGCCCTTTCCCTCCGTCACAGCCAGTCCTCACAGAACATGGATGCAGAGGCCTCTGCGTTTTACAGAGTGGGTAACTCGCCCAGCTATATCTGATGCCAGAGCCCATGTTCTTAGCCCTGCACCTCCTGGTGCTAGAGGCTGGCAGCTGCAAAATGATCAATTATTTGCAGGGAAGAGAGACGAGCTACAGTGGCCTCTGAACTGTTGCATGCATGATGTTCCATTGGGATGCAGGAGGAAAAGAGTAGCTTTGTATTAATTTTTTTATCTCATCCTTTTTCTATTTTTGATTGTTTTAAAATGCATGTAACAGAACAATAATAGTAATGTTACATCACTTCTAAGAAAGTTATAAATATGTTGGGTACATGTTCAGGATTTTTACTAATGGAAAGTGTGACCAAAAAGTCTTCAGCCCCCTGGCCTGGAGCCAGGAGATAGGCCAGGAGCTTCTAGCCGTGATCCAGTGAGAGATGGAGAGGACCTGGGAAAAAGGCAGTGAGGAAGGAGGGATGGGACGTTTTGGTTGCCTCAACAGGGCTGTTTGTCCGTCATCACCAAAAAACAAGGCTGCATCCCCACCTGGGGGCTTCTGCCCTCCTGCTGCATCCACAGAGCCAGACCATCCCGTGTGTCAGGGGCTGGGTGCCTGCAGAGGCAGCGAGGAGACGGGTCTGTTGGGCTGGACTCTGAGGGGCAGCATTGGAAAGGGCTGGGTTGGAGTAGAAGGATCCACCCCAACCAACAGGGCCATCATTGGCCAGAAGCCCTGCACTCCTCCAGCTCTGCCCCGTCCCGTGCCCTGGCTCCTAGGACCGCTCCAGTTTGGAGACCTTTGGGAAGGGCTAAAAGCCAGTTCTCTTCAAGAGCACAGGCTTTTTTCCTGCCTTAAGAGGTGACAACACCCCTGGCAATAGAGCCTTAAACCATTCCTATTTTTAAGATAACTGTCATCTCCTGGATTTTTACTCCACTTTTCTCCAAGAACTCCGAGTCCTTTGTCATCTGGCCCCACAACAACTGAGAAAGGAGACTCAGTGTGTTCCCGTGACAGTTGGGCGCATCCCCAGCCGACCCCGGCTCCCCTGCAGCTCCAGGTGTGCTCTGAAACCAAGGAGGCCACAGCCCCAGCGAACCTCTACGTTTTAGAATGTTTTATGTGCCCTTCATTATTGTCTAAATTGGAAGTCTTTTGGTGGGGGACATGAACTCTTTTGAACAAAACTTAAAAATGTTTTTATATCGTTTTAAAGCTTAAAATTCTTTCATATGTGTTGTTTCATTTGATCCTTACCACACCTCAGTGAGGTAGGCATTTTGTCCCCCATTTTACGAGTGGCAGAGCAAAGGCTCAGATCAGATGATGGACCCAACCCTCTGGGCTGGGGCTGGGCTTCTGCCTCTGGAACCCGTCTGCTCTCCATAACACCACGCAGCCTCTTTAGTAACCGAGACCCAGATCTCACCAAGCATGCCTATGAGGTGTTTACAGGAAATGCTCTGCTGAGTGGACCTGTGAGGTTGTGCATTGTCCCTGTAGACTTGAAGCGTTGAAATACGCAGCTCTTAAGATCAAATATATATATATTTTTTTATAATTTTATTTATTTATTTATTTTTCCCCCAAAGCCCCAGTAGATAGTTGTATGTCATAGCTGCACATCCTTCTAGTTGCTGTATGTGGGACGCGGCCTCAGCATGGCTGGAGAAGTGGTGCGTCGGTGTGCGCCCGGGATCTGAACCCGGGCCGCCAGCAGCGGAGCGCGTGCACTTAACTGCTAAGCCACGGGACCGGCCCTTAAGATCAAATATTTTGAAATTTGGGATTTTTATGGCTTTTAATTGTGAGTCTTACGCAGTACTTTTAATATGGTTTAATCACGAATATAGATACCTAAAGAGATTTTGGTGACAATCCAAAACACTTCTTGTATGTCCCAGATCCTATCAATTTCCCCAAAGAACTATGGAAACCAAGATAAAGTCTTGGCTCTTGTACCAATCTCAAGAGGGTTGTGTATATGAGACTTTTGGCTCTCTTCCTCCAAAAGACGGTGTGAGGAGAGCCAAGTCTAAGACTCTTCTTCCCACGGCCCAGGCAGGGGAGGGCACAGAGGCGGTAACATTGCGTTCTCTCCTCTGTACCTAGACGAGCGTGGTTAACTACAATGACCAGAGGCCAGCTGCCGAAAAAAGTGCTCAGCTGTTTTTTGTGGTCTTTGAATGGAAAGATCCTTTCATCCAGAAAGTCCAAGATGTGAGTATTATTTATGATTATGAGAGTAGACTTCCTGCCCGAAGGCATTTGGGCTCATCCTTGCAGGCCATCCTCATGTTCTTTTATCGCCCAAATCACAGTTTATTTATATTTATGATGTTCATGCTCTGTATTATTTAGCTGATCTTGTCTTCGTCACTAGACTGTTGTCCTGTGAAGGTGGGGAGTTCGTTTTTGTTCACTCTCATTTATGTGGCGTCCAGCAGAGTGCCCAGTACAGAGGAGCTGCTTCACAGTAACATTAACTAAATGAACTGAGTGGAAGCATTAAGCTAACATCTAGATTACTTCTATTGGAAGCCAGTCTTGAGTGGTTTTCTGTGGGATAAGAATCCTCATTATTTGTTGTAAGTCAGAGCAGAAAGGCACAAATTAACAGAGCATCAATTAATGCCAAATTCTCAGACTCACAGTTTTGGAAGGGGAGGAGTACTGGGATAGCTGTGCCAAAGAACGTTCATGAGACACCATCCACCAGAGCCAGTCCCAAATCTAATCCTGATTGGCCTTTAGATCATCACAGAATGTCCCGATGTGGTCATGGCTCAGGGGAGACAGTTCTCTCAGGGCCAAGACTGAAAGAGGGAGGGGCTCTCTGACATGGATGGTCCATTAGCCCCAGCACCAGTGTTGGTCGTGGATTGGGAAGGCCATGTATGAGCAGCCATGTGCAGAGGCTTCCTGAATCAAGACTCGGGGTGGAGGAAGGAGCAGCTTCAGCTCCACATGTCAAACGTGTGATCTAACCTTTTCTCACCTACTGTTTTCAGTATGAGGTCCCTGTTGTGGGCCACGGAAAGCCCCGTGCTCGAAGCCTGCTTTCCTTGTGTTGTCACTCAGCTTCACAACAGTCCTAAACGGTGCCGGTGGTGTAACCATTTTGCACATGTGAACCGCGAGGCTCAGATTGTCTGAGGTCTCCCTGCTAAACTGGGACTGAAAAGTGCTCTGTGTTTACCGTGCTGGGGAACTCAGAAATCTAAGATATGACCTCAGCCTTAAAGAGTTTAACATTTAGTGAGACCGGTCTATAGCTGTAAAGTGACTAATTGCAGACGGTAAATAACTGGCAAAGAAGTTTGTGGGATAGCTCTCTTTGCTGAAGTCAAGAGGGTTTTGGCTTAGTGGTCAGAGAAAGCTCTGAGGAGTGTGGAAGGATTAGTAAATCCAGGTCAGAGGAGAGCACCCCAGGCAGGGCAGTCAGAGGGGCATAGCCTGGAGCGGGAGTCCCTGTGCTGAGTGTGGGAGGAAAGACATCATTGGACTGGATGGAGAAGTTTGAGGAACTACGAGATGGGAAGGAAACAAGAGGAGCTCACCTTTTTATGGACTAGGGATAGTTTTGAGGAAATTTGTCTCAAGGCAAGGTCACTTACTGTGAATTAGGCCAAAAATGGAAAGGTCAGTGCTGAGTATCTTATTTGTGCAGTGCTTTTTTGAAAAACAAATTTTTTCTTTCAGGATCACTTGATTGTAGGGAGGGATTAGTATCTTTCTCCTCAGACTAAGCTACAGACATTAAAAGGATAGTCGGAACGAAGTATAAAGTTTTGGCAATTTTAGAACCCAGGTGTTTTTCTTGTCACTCCAATAACTGGGGGTGAGGGGCTCTTGACAGTGACACTAGTATGACCTAAGAATCAAAAATTGAAGCAAACTAATAAACTTGTGTTTGTTTCTGTTTTGCAGATAATCACTGCCAATCCTTGGAACACAATCGCTCTTCTCTGTGGGGCCTTCTTGGCATTATTTAAAGCAGCAGAGTTTGCCAAACTGAGTGTGAAATGGATGATCAAGATTAGGAGGAGATACCTTAAAAAAAGAGGTCAGGCAACGAACCACATAAGCTGAAGTTGCCTCGTGTGGTTCATAGACCTGCCTACATCAATGGAAGTTCTCATCACTTCCGCTTTGATAAACCGAGCTACCAGCAATCCTGTACTCACTTGAAGAAGCGGGCCTGCTGGGAGGAACAGCCTCTCCAACTGCAGCTTCTAACCTGGCCCAAAAAGAGGCTGTTTAGAGCCTAATGGAACAGATCCAGTGGATGACGTAAAAGTTATTTAAGTACTTAAATTATTAACATTTTTTGACATATGACATATGAATAGGGTTTGTGGAAGATGGAATTAGGTATATACCAAGTTTTCTGAAGATGTGTGAAGCTGCCTTTCTTCTTACTTGGTTTGGTGTATAGTTAAGCTCTAACAGGACAATTAAGGGTCTACTTTTTACCTTAGGTGTTTTTTTCCTGAGGTTTTTAAAGTGGACAGAAGAGAGTGTGATTTTTTTTCCCTCCCAAATCCTGACTATCCAGATGTGTAGGTCGTGCTTTGAAACCTATGCACTGTACACAAAGGCAGAAGCCCTTATGTCGCTGGCATCATCTGCCGTTTACATTGTCTAGCCTCTGACAAGCTCATTTGTTAAATATTAAATGAGACTTTTTTAAAGTTACTAGAAACTAGTAATTGTGGACTGACTAGCCAGCTACCTGTCTGGCTAGAATATTTGTCGATGCAAGTATGAGAGTTGAGAATGATTAACACACAAAAGCACTAGGACATGTGTACATAGTAGGTGCCTACTCAGTGTATGTTGATGATTTCATTAACAAGTAAATAAAAGTTAGGTTAATACAAAAGGAATCAGTGTGCAAGTCTGAATATCTGCTAAATCAATAGGCAGTGGTACGCTTCCATTCTGTGACCTCCAGATAAAAGGCAGCGTGAGCCTGGACTCCTCATATGACTGGATCTGGACTCCGAGGTACGTCCTGACTGTCCAGGGAAGGGTGGGGTGGGTGTGGCGATTGATGGCGGATCGTCAGGGAGAGGGACGGATCAAGCCCTATGAATAAGCTGTTAACTCTTCCCGTCCTAGAAAAACACCCGTGTGAGCAAGGGGCACTCATATGACCCTCAAAGCTTTCAGCCTAGCCTGTGACAGAGATGAGTACTGTCTTGGTATTTTTCACGTGGTGGCCATCGGCTGATTGAAGGTTATGAAAATTGTTTCCGTAATTTTAAATTATTTACATGCCCTTTGCACCCAAAGAGGACTTGGTAGCATTTCCTGAATTTCATAACCTGGCTTTAGGTAACTGAAAGAAAACAATTCACATGTATGAGTAGAGCCTTTTTATCTCGTCTAACTTAGCAGCAAGAAACTGTTTTTTGGTTGAATTATTAAAAGTGAACTTGTGCAAAGAAATATTCCCTGCTACTTTTCTAGGCCAGAGAAGCATGCAAATTTGAATTTTAGCCTAGGTCTCGTCTCTATATAATCTTATTGTAAGGCCAGTGCAAAGCCAGGCATAAAAGCTTACATTAACTGTACTGAAAAACAGGTGTGTGTTTTTTTTAAAGTATCTCTAAAGGTGGCACACCACTTTAATATTACTTAAATATCTAATAAAATTTGCTCCAATGAACATACTAAAACTGCATTTCCTGTATTGTGGAAAGTTGAGAGAACTTTTCAATGTGCTTTAGTTACAGTAAGTAGATAACTAGGAAATGAGCATTTTTAGCTCGTCAAAGAAGAAAAACTTCATAAACTATTAGCTGCAGCCTGCCAAAATCCACTCTGGCTGCTCTTCAGTAAAAGAAATATATGTCTAAACCTGATTGCACAAAATAGACATTTAGACCTAACCTTCACTTTCTGGAAAGGCAGGGCCTTGCCTTTCTTCTGTGTTCTGTAGTAGCATCACCCTTTCCTTCTACCTGCGCTGCCCCCAGCTGTCAGTAATCCTGGCTGGTGGTGGGTTAGTGTGAAGAGCTGGTTAAGAACACCTGGACCTGGATGGCTGAGATAAGGCAGCTGCTTGAGAACAAGGTAAACTGTGAGCCGTGTACTGAAAGGAAGAGTTTCTCCTGGGGCCACAGCGAGTGAGAGGAGTTGCTTTTACAGTGACCAAGGAATAACGTGTAGAACCCATGCTGCAGTTCTTCATGGGTGTGAGAGAGTGGAATCAGACATCAGTAGTTGAAAACTTGATAATAACCTCTGACTTCTGATTCTGCCACAATCTCCCTGCCCCCACAAAAAAACAGTGCTAGTATTATAGATTTTGAGATTTATCCTCCTGTGTCTATTTTAATTAAAACTAACATTTAAGGTAAATTAAACCCATCCTCTGTACATGAAGGGCCATGGAGGAGGATGGAAGGATATCCTAGAACTCAGTATTTTATGTAAATCTGTAAAAGATAGATATACTTTGGTAAATGGCTGGAACACCCAACTCTGACACACGAGCTTCCTTTTCTTAGAGTATATCCCACAATTTGCCTTAAAGTTTTCTATATATACACACATGTATGTATAAAAGGGGGGCAGGCTTCTACACGCCCAAACTTAGAGCTGAAAAATGCAAAGACAACATATGGCAAAATACAAACATAGACTTTATTAAATGCTGCTCAATCCCCCAATGAAGATCTTTCATTACAAAACAGTTTGCCACACAACTGCAAGTTAAGAGATTGGAATGGTACTCTGATAACAAAAGATGTGAGAAATACTTGACCAAGTAAAAACATACAAGACCTCTCTATAGTCAACTTTTTCAGAACTCTACAGAGTAAGCCTACTGCATTTCCTTTAAATAAAGCCAGGCAGTGACAATGAGTGCTCTGTGTCACCACATTGTGGGACTCAAAGCCTCCATCCCTGGGTCAGAAGGGCACTGGAGGAAGGGCAGGTTGTGAGGACTGGAAAGGCCCTGCCTTCAGCCTTCGGGAGGAAGAGGAGGAATGAACTGATGAGAGGCAGGCTGAGTGTTCACCTGCGCTGCCTCCACTGATCTGTGCTCATCACACTGGGAAGTTACAGATGAAGGAGGATGGTCATGAGGAACAATCTTAAGAATTTGGTTTACTCTCCCAGCTTTTATTTATATTTTGTGCTTTAAAAAGCCTGGAGATTTAAGTTTTTGCTCAAATTCCAGAGTACAGTAATATCTCTAATGAAGGAAGGCTTAGGGCAGGTAATTTCCCCCATCATATTTCTGGGTGAGACGAAGGGAAGGGTAAGGATTATACCTTAGTTTTATTTTAGGAAATACTCTTTTTCCTAGGATATAACTAAGGTCTGCAGCAATGTGAAAAGCACATTATAAAAGGGAAAAATATACAGAGCAAACTACTATATCTATGTGCAACACAATCAAAAAAAGAATTCAAGTCATAATTCTTACCACTCCCATAATTATCTCACTCATATCATAAATGAAAGTTCATTCATTTCTGTGAAACTTCAGAAGTGACACAAATCAATGCTTAGACAAAGGTTACGATATACTGTGGCCATGATATAGCACAGGGCTATGTTTAGTCCATATATTTCATCATTTACAGTTGCCAGAAAAAAATTGGCCTTTTAATTATACTGATGAGGTTTGTTTCGTAATTTTTACATATTTCAAAAAAGTGTAGAAAACTGTGCCTATCAAACAGAGGTGGTAGGCTTTTTTTATTCGTCACTTGTATTGCTGAGAATAGTGTGCATGTTGTAAGCACTGTTCTGCTTTTCTAGAGCTTTCTTTAGTTTTAGCTCCTCTAATTTTTTCCATAATTCTTCACGTTCCAATTCCTTCTTTTTCTCTCTGTAGATAAACCAAAATTTTTGTAATCAGAAACTTTTATTTCAGAGCCTCAAGAAACATGCTGTTGGGCAAGTTTGCTGGAGAAGACATTTTTCACCCACGTTTCACTTGAATCCCTCTACTAAAGCGTTTGAGGCCAATTCCCTGGAGCACCTCATTACTCCCTGTCACTCTCCTAAGGGTAACAGCATGTCTGTGCATCTCCCATACCAACTGAAAGTTACTACTTGCTTTCCCACCCCTACAAGTCATCACATCACCACCAGGACCGCTGTATCGTCTGTGCTCTACAGTGACCCAGTCCTCTCATGTTAACCTCACGGAAGCCTCCTGCAGTCACTGTAGTACTCATGACCACTCTCTTACAAACAGGACTGAAGGGCTGGCCATGAGGTCAGTCTGGAGCCATTTCCAGGTAGAATCCACATCCTCTGGCACCACATCTCTCGCCACTAACCAGGCTGTATCTTACTGTCTCTTATCTCTTATGTGTCAAATGAAAACTTCAAAGTTCGAATAATCTCTCTCTAAAAAAACCAAAACTCAAAATATTTTATATGTTGTTTCAATTACTTAATTTCAATTCTAAGGAAACACCTCTGAATAACCTGGACCAAACTATTCTGAAGGGCTATATGAACATGTGAAAACAAACATGGGCTTATAGTTCTGCAATTATGTACAATTTAAAGGGACAAAGGTGCTCCTTTATGCAGATAGTAAGATGTAATGATTATTTTTAGTCATGTAAAATATACATTTTTCAAATATAAGTTTCATATGATCCTAATCATCTTTTCTTTCTTCCCATTGCTTCCTCGCGCTCAAACTAGGTACCTAATTTCTATACTTGCCTGAAAAGTGCTGTTTAAAAGAAAGAATACATTGAGTTAGTTGTTGATGGACTAGGATGGCCTTGAGGAAGAGCTGTCCTTTCTCTACTTGCCACAAGAAAAGCATGACTAGGAACTTATGATCAGAATAGATCATCTTTTCCTCACAGCACAGGTAATATACTTATTAGAAGTAAATGGTAGCTATTATCCTCAAATGACAGGTGGGCTCAGGTACAGTGATTACTGCCCTCCCCCCTTAAGTTTCAAATAAATATATGAGAAGGAAGTAATTTTTAGATTATTTTGTAGTAATTTATGAAGTTCTCAAAAAGAGGTAATCACTAAGCCAAGTTCCTAAATGCTGATGTGTGCTATCATTTATTCTCTAAAATATATATATTATTGCAAGGAACAAAATATTAATTAATAGTACTGAGCCAGAGGCATATCATTATGTGAGTTCCCTCTTCCCAGAAAAGAACTATGCTGACTTTAAAATACCACCTTGTTAAGATGTGCAGCTTAAAAACTATACAATTATTGTGCAAAGAGCAGTTGAAGAGTTAACGCTCACTCTGGAAGCCCATGTAGACAAAAACGATTTTCATAAATATAAGAAATCAAATTGTATAAAATAGTGTTTAAAATTCGGCATAAATTGTATTTCACAGCGCAGATGCTACCAGACTGATGAAGTCTAAGGCTCAGAATAAGATAAACAGGATTTATGATCCACATTAAAATCATAATCTAACCATTAGGGGAAGTTTACCTGGAAATGACTTAAAAGTGTTTAGAGACTTTCAAATTGTAATGCTTAATGTAACTGACTTCTTAATTTTAACTTAGAGAAGATACCTTATTGAACTGAATCACATTCAACTAACCTAAAATGGATAGATAACTGTAATTAAAAATATCAAATACCTTTGTCTTTCAGCTTTGTATGAGCTAGTAAGGTCATCGAAAAGCTTGCCATTCATTTCCATTAGAGTTTTCAGCACATTGTATACCAATGCTACAAT